ATTTCTGAGTTGGGCTGAACTGTGAACAAGGGCGCTTTCGAACAACGGCGACTGCTGGTGTTCGAACACGACAATGTCAAGCCCAACTGAGCGATTCGATCTTACGTCCTATGCACCACAGAAGCTTAGAGACGACAGAGCCGTGGAATTCCTAAACGGACCCCTTAAGCTGCTAGAAGCAAGGGGACGGTCCCTCATATATTAGTGCAATATCGCTGTAAAATAACGGACCTTGCTGACTCATTTTACACGGTGCTACTTCACTGTGTAAATCCACCATCAAAAATATACAAAACAGTTAACTCGAATAGTTTCTAACTGTTTGCACTATTATTATTCTTCAACAAGGTTAGCAATGGTATTTAAAACCGCTTCAGAGTACAATAAATCCACAAATTTACATCGATGCACGAAAGGGTTTCTCGTTCTCAGTCATTTTTCAGTAAACAGGACTATTGGAAACGGCAAAAAATATTTTTTACCACAAAATGCACATTATAGGTTCATTATATGAGAAATCACTAGCGACATTTCGGTCTGTACGGCAAGGAAAGCGGCAGCTTTGGCCTATTGATTTGACAGTTCAGAGCGACGTAATGTTCCTAATCGCAAGACTGAATGATATACTTTTTACATTCGTCCGTAATTACAACTGGACGGCCAACGATCACCAGTCAATACACACAAAACCACGGTCGACAATACGACCTTACACATAGTTAAACAGGAAAGGAAATTACAGCGGGACTATTTCAGACTGCGGAACCCAAACTTAGCTTGACGTGTAGTGCACGAGCGTTTTAACTCTGTTGGCTGGCATGCATGTAAGGGAGGGGAGGAGCAAAAGGACGCTCAAACTTCAATAACCCGGACGCTGAAACTTCGACGCCACATGCTTTAAAGAACGGCCAGTCTCAGAAACCCGCCATGACTTCACAACATCAGCTACGACGCGCGATTCAGTGATTTAACCTCGATAAATTATGCAATAAAGTTACATAACCAAAAACTAGCTTCCGATACCTCTTCGTCTGGAATCTTGAATTTCTTCAGAAGGGCGACGAATTTCTGTTTCAGATTTTTCTGTCGCAAACTAAATCGAGCCGGGTGTGAGGCCAACTTTGCCGACTTCCTTGATAAACCGCCAATAATACCCAATTGGTCTTCGATCGGTATTTCCGAGTCAGAAGCGCCTTCCTCGTTTACCGACCACTCTTCGTCGTCATCGTCTGTACCTTCGCTCTGATCTAGAAACCAAATGACGCCTGTCATTTCATTCGTGAGCTACACCGAACGGTCAACCACGCCCCAGAAATACAGTCCATTTTATTACTAACCCAGAAACAAATAGAATATAGCGTTAAAAGTCGTAACTGCTAGAATGACAACCGAGAGTACAAAACCGGCAATAGGAAATTTTTATTATCTGCAGAATTAATGAATAAGTTTCAGCACACTTGTTTCATGAGAAGTTCCCTGTATATTAAAGCATTGCCGTTGTTGCTGTCCTCGAAGTGGTCCATCGATCACGCTGTCTCACCCCACCCCTTCCCCTATACCAGTCTGCTACACACCTTTATTCATGTTGCGTTTACCAATGGTACGGCGTTCCGAGAGAAAGCAAACGACACGTACAAGATCTAAAACCGACAATCCGTCACCTTTGAGTTTGGTTTCGTCCTGTTCCACCGGCTGACTGACGAACGACATGAAGTAGACTTTGGCGACCATCTGGGCGGCGTTACCGTTGCTCATCAGTGCCAGTTCGCGGATTGCACCGTGCTGCAAAACCTATGAAATGAGGGGGACAAACGTTAAACTAGAAGATTACACGAAGAAACGTATCACTCACGTTCGTGAGGTTGATGGAACCGATGGCTAGAGTCTTGAAGCCGAGCATTGGGCGGTTCTTGTACTTTTTGCGGCGTTGCAGCATCAAAACCAGACAGTTACTTTGATTCTTGACGAAATGGGGGTACTGAAAACAGTCAAAGACGTTGGCGACAGACGTCGTACAAACGCTGGCTGAAACGCGTACCTGCAAAGTGAACGATATGTCCAGGTCGATGTCTACCACGCCGTTCGTCGACGACGACACAACGATGTCGTTTGACCTGAGCGTTCGTTTAAAGCCCTGAGAGTACAGCCACTGGCCGGATCACAACAACGGGAGGGGTAATGTACTCACTTGTAACTTCGCCGCAATAATAAAACACGATAGGTCCGTCTCCAGGGAGCGCAGGATGGTGAGACGGTTGATGGTCAGCATACAAAGTCTAGAAAATTAAATACGACAATGAAATTGCTATATTGAAGTCGCTGTATATTAAATTACGCAAAGACTAAATAATAATGGAGTAAAAAACAAATCAGCCTAGCTCATGCCGTCGAGTCTATAAATTCACTCAGGAAAGCAGAAGAAAACAGAATTTACTTTATTGGTCATTTTTTAAAATTCGTTTTTGAACAACGCTCGATATCCGCCCCTTCAAAATTATAGTTCTTTCTGTATATACCCTTTTTAGACTCAGATATCTAAAGATTCGTGCTGTAGATAAACAGAAGTTGCTGGTTTTTCTGATTTGAACACCGAGCTGAAAAAAAATCTGTCCACAGGTGGCGGTGGAATACAGTTGGTCCACAGATTGGAATACAGCCTTTGCTTCTACAGATTAAGAAGTTACAGCTGCAATGGCTTGGGCATGTGTTGCGAATGCCTCCAGAAAGAAAGGCTAAGCAACTGTTGCTTGCAAATCCGACCGGCAAAAGGCC